TGTACGAACACGTGGACCTGCTTACGCGAATTTTTTGTTATAGGCTGTAGTACCCATTACGGTCTCTAATGTCTCGAATAGTGGGAGGTACCGTTGTATGGGGCTATACTAAAACGTGGACCGACATGGCCCATTTACGAACTTAACCTGCCTACTGGCAAAATATATATTTGTGCAAAATGTTAGCCTGCTATCACAATTCGTTCCGAAGATATCGTGATTTCAACTTACAGATGGACTTAGAATTTTACGCTGATCAAGAATATATATGCTTTGTTGGGTCTACCATGAGTATTTCGAGGAGTTACCAACGGGATGACACAAATGCCATAGAGTTTTTGATAAACTAGACTTATGACGATGAGTATAGTACACTGATCACTAACTGGTGTTATGTCATTATTATCTAAAACATGACTTCGTTTTGGCAATCAATTATTTAAAAACGGGTCCATGCTTATCAAAAAGTAATTGGTTGGTTTTTATCGGTGTGCTTTAGAAAAGTTGTGTATGAGTGATTTTCTCTCAATTTAACTTATTAGTGGCCAAATTGCATTATTAATGGCATGGCATTTCTCATAATTTCCCTCAATTAACTTTAGACTTATAAAGGGTTTAACGTAAACCCATTTCACTTTATTTCCACAAAAAAAAAAAATAAAAATAATAAAAAAATCTTCTTTAATTGAATTTTCCCACCAAACCTGTTTCAAAACTTAAAAAAATCTCTATCATTTTATCCTCAAAACATAATTAAAATGGCGATTTTGTAATTTGTACACAATGGAACAACAATTACGGGATATTTAGTGCTTAAGAATGCAGACATCCTGCTTTCATTTATTTCCGCAGCCGCTCACACGAACACATACACAAGTATTCTTTTATAACGTTTTTACCTTGAAATACGAACTTATTGTCGTGTGATAACGGCTATTGTTAGAACGAGAGATAATATTGTTTGGTGTCCTTGGCAGCGTCACTACATCGGCTGAATTCATCATGGAAATTTTATCTATTTCAGAGGGGATTTTTTCTGCCTTGCCAAAGAATTCATTCTGAGAAGGCAAACAAAAAGAGTAGACCAGACACAGTGGGGATACAGAATGCAAAACCTTTTCAAAAACACAACACTAGTGGGCGCCCTATAGAATTCTGGCAGTTTTATAATTGCATTTGTAGCATGCTGGGAAACTCGTTTGGTATGCGATTTAAATGAAGGTGAGTTTATGAGATGATGGATGGCATACATCCACTTTTTGTCAGCGAGATTTGGGGAGATGTATGAATAGAATTCGGCTAAATTATTTCCGTTCTTAAATGAGTTTTTAATTTCAAAGTGTAAACTGTAAAATACAAAACAACATTCAACAAGTAAAAACAAGTAAGCAAAGGCTATAGTCGTGCGGGGCCGACCATGCGATACCCTACAACACTACAATATGTTCTTTCGTTTTTGAAATAATGTTCGAATTCCCTTTATATCCAAATCCATTTTGGAAGATTTCGTTTTTGAAATAATGTCAAAGAGCTCTGCCCAGAGGTTACCCTTAGTATTTTGACTCGGAGAATTTGGCCAATTTTTACGCACTCCGGAGTGTCAAAACAATTTCACACGAAAGTTGTGGTCCATTTTACAGCTAAATATAATCCAATGGTCATCCAAAATGCTTGACTTCTTCCCTGTCCTTAACTCTCTTCCGATGCGAATTCCGTGTCGATACGTTTTCAATTGTGCCCTATACAGCGGCTTTAAAATTAGAAATAATTAATTTTTTTAGTCCATTTGCACATATAAACGTACATCTTAACAATAATAGGCTTTAGGTCTGACGCTAACCCTTCTCCCATGCAAAATTTCGTGAGGATCGGACGATAATTGGGACATTCATGTAATATCCTCAAAACGTAGTGTTGGGGGTGTAAAAATTTAGAAAATTCAACATTCAAAATTGTAAGTCAAATTGAAAAAATCGCATGCGATAAAAAATATGACAAAAATGGAAAAAAATGAAACAAAATATATAACTTTTTTATTGGTATATTATCCCGCGATTTTCTTAGATTTTATCGTTTTTTGGCTAGAGACCATTCCGAATTGATGTAAATTGTGAAAATCGGCCCAGCGGTTCTTGATTAATAAGCAGAATAAATGCGATCAATTCTTTTACATATATATTGTAACTATTTTGCTATATATCCGATTTCATGGCTATTAGCATCAATGTAATGGTCAGAAGTGATCTTCTAATGTATTTTTGATTTGTTTGGGATTGAAAATATCCGCGGTTTAGTGAACATTATCCTATTTTCTTACATAAAAGTTAGGCTCTATTTTACCCGCTAATTATTGTCCGATTGCCGCCCAAATTAGTAGGTTTCTACCCAGTCCCAAACTCTAACTCCATGCTTATTTTCGCGTCGATTGGATCATAATATCAGGAAAATTTTCTGTATTTGGTCCATTTCAACCCCTAATCATCTCCAAAAACAATAGGGTTCTATTCTGACCTTAACCCCACCTCCATTTTCAATTTCGTGAGGATCGGTTCATAATTGCGACCTGTAGAGTGATTACAAATTAACATGAACAGAAGGACAGACGGGCGGACGGTCATACATAGCTAGATCGACTCAGCTCGGCGAGATAGGAAGATCCATATATACTTTCCTATGTGGGAAACCAATATTTCGAGGTGTTACATAATTTTTGACCCAATCAAACTTATACACATAGTGTTGTAGGGTATAAATATAAGTTCCACTGCACAGTGATTCAAAGTCGTTTCAGCAAACTGTGCACTTTTAGAACAGCTTGAGGTATCCATAAAGTATTCCGCAATCATGGAAATTTTGGCCGCAGACCTTAGATATTCAAACAGGACTCAGCAACATCGCACTCAGCACACCACCCAAGAATGGTTACTAAATAAGGTTACCCGCTTCATTTCCAGCGCACAATGGCCACCAAAATCTCCGGATACTAATCCGTTGGATTATTGTGTCTGGAGTATTTTGGAAAGCAAGGTTAGCACTAAAAAATACCAAAATGTCGATCACCTCAAGCAAGCGCTTCACCGGGAATGGACCAAAATACCGCAGAGCAACATTCGGGCAGTGTATGATGGTTTCATTGGCCGCTTGAAGACCATATGTCGTACCGAAAGTGACCAAGTCGAACAAATCTAAACTTATTCTAAAATTTGATGCTATTTCCGACATCTTTTGCTTTCATTCAATTGCAGTTTTTTATCACATATAACTATACCTCCCGATATTCGGTAATTTGATGATTTTAGAAACTTTTTTTAATAACATTGTCTGTCATATAAGGGTTTTTATTTGGCAGGAATTTTTCGATGGATTTTTTTTTTGTTTTTATACCCTCCACCATACCATGGAGGGTATATTAACTTTGTCATTCAGTTTGTAACTACTTGAAACACTCATGTCAGACACAACAAAGTATATATATTCTTGATCAGCGTAAAATTCTAAGTCGATTTAGCGATGTCCGTCTGTCTGTCGGTCTGTCTGTCCGTCTGTCTGTCTGTCCGTCTGTCTGTTGTAATCAAGATATCTTTCGAACGAATTGAGATAGATGTCTAAAATTTTGCACACGCGTTTATTTTTCCAGTAGGCAGGTTAAGTTCGCGAATGGGCCATGTAGGTCCAGGTTTTCATATAGCCCCCATATAACGGTACCTCCCGATATTCGGTATTTTGATGATTTTAGCGACATTATTCACCGAAATTGTTTCAAATTTGGTATTTGAAGTTCAAAATGGATACTACAGCATAAGGCAGAAATTTGTTTGAACAGGTCCACGTCTTCGTATAGCCCTCATAAAAGGGTACCTCCCAATATTCGGTATTTTCATGATTTAACGACATTATTCACCGGAATTGTTTCAAATTATGTATTTAGAGTTCGTTGTAGGAACTACATTCTGTGACAGAAAATTGTCTATACAGGTCCAGGTCTTCGTATAGGCCCCATATATCAGTACCTCTCTATATTCGGTATTTTGACGATTTTAGGTACAATACCCACCGATATTGTTTGAGATGTGGTATTTGAAGTTCGTAATGGATGCTACAGCCTGTGACAGAAAATTGTCTATGCAGGTCCAGGTCTTCGCACAGCTCCGATATAACGGTACCATCATATATACGATATTTTGATGATTTTAGCTACATTATTCACCGTTTATTTCAAGTTTCGAATTTGAATATGGTAATGTCTTATGACAAACAAGGCATATGTAGTCCTACGTCGTATAAATCCCAAAATAACGGCTATATTTGGTATTTTTAATATTTTAACAGAATGTATTAAGGATTTTATTTTTTGAAAATTTCCAAATTCGTTCCAAAAGGTGGAGTGTATTCAAAGTTCGGCCCGGCCGAACTTACTGCTTTTTAACTTGTTAATTTTTCAAGCTCCTTCCGTATGATGGAGGGTATTAAAAGTTCGGCCCTGGTGAACTTAGGTGCTTTTTCACTTACTTAATATTGATGAAATCCTGACGTTTAGGTAAGAAGTACACTTGTGATGTATTCTGTATTTAGGCTTGTTATTTGACTTGTTGCGATCCCCTAAAAAGGAACTTTTTAAAAAAAATCAAAAAAAGTTGTGGAAGAGGGGGAATATGACCACTCTATTGGGGCTACTTTGCGATATAAACGCCGATACACGTGTCATCTATTTAATATAACCGCTTCAAAATTGAGGGATGTGCACGAATATAACTTTCTTAAAAACTCGGATCCTTAAGATCTATGAAAACACATCCAGAATATTTGTTACTACCAAGAAAAGCCAAAACACATTTTTGATTACATTTCAAGTGATTTACAAGCTAAGTTCCTTAAAACTCATCCGTACGAGTATTTGATTAAACCGTCCGATAGCGGTGTTATTTGAGAACTGTAACAAAGACACTTGTACACACTTATCTACTTCTAGTTCGAACTTACCTATATTTGTTAACTTTCATTTCAGGTTCGATTGCAAATAATTGGTTGGGTCGGAAAGGCACAGCAGCAGCAGCAAACTAAAGGATATTTACACATGTCCTCGAAAGGCAAACTTTAATCAATCAACTTTTATTTTGGGGAGTTGCTCAACAAATCAAACAACAACCCTGTTGGCTACAATTGTCCCAAGAAAATAGAAACAAAAACGTAAGTATGATACCACATAGATAGAGTTTTCTTTCTGGATAAATTTTGAGTGATACATTCAGATCGTTTCCTCCCTTTCGAGAAGAGGTTGAAAAGCGAGATAAAAAGGAAAATGTTCCGAGCAGTGTGATTACACTCACTGGCTGATTAAAAAGGAAAAGCTTGTTAATGAACACCTTTGTGAAATTTCAACCTCAAAAGAACTTAAGCAGATGTTGGCGGGCGTTTTAAATGTGAGAAGGTTTCTGTTTTTTTTTCTTGAAAGATGTTTCCAAAATGTCTGGGTATCATCAAAAGAATTGTTGCCTTTTGTTGGTTGTATTTTTTTTTTTTTTTGTTACCACATTCATTCTAATGCCCACAGAGAGCATCGACAGATGACACATTGGCGTAGACATACGTGGGCATTTGATCCCAAATCACTTAAGGATATGATATTCTGACATATTTCAAGTTTTTGGCCAATTTAAACATGAATTACATTAAATTCGGGTTGCATTTTCCCCAACTACGCCAATGTCTGGACATAACTTCTGACCTTTAGCCAGTATTGAGTATTGTATTATTGAATCGCCACAAAGAGTATTTATTTTCCATTAAGGCAAAAATAAATTCTCATGTCGAGAATTGCAAAATGCATTTGGTGCAATAATAAATGATGCGGCATTATTTCGTATTATGTAAATAAATGATGAAATGCGAACGATGATTAAATTTCAGTCATCAAGTCGTAAATAAAAGAGAAAAAATATTGTGAATATTTAAAAATGGAGAGAAAAGTTTTATCATGTGAGAAAATTTCGTAATTCCCAAGAAAGCAAAATGTGACTGACGGACTCATCAATGCCCAAATGAAACAGCTGATGCTAGAATTTTAAAGTTATAGGTAAGTTTCAATTTGGGAACTGAGAGGCGAGATTGCTAGTTTTTTTGAAATTTCATACTATAACGATACGTAAAAATTTTTTGAGGCATTGTACATAATATATATTCTTGATCAGCGTAAAATTCTAAGACGATTTAGCCATGTCCGTCTGTGTGTCTGTCTGCCCGTCTGTTGTAATCACGCTATCTTTCGAACAAATTGAGATAGAAAATTTTGCACGCATGTATATTTTGCCAGTAGGCAGGTTAAGTTTGTAAATGGGCCATGTAGGCAAAAGTTATCATATAGCCCCCATATAACGGTACCTCCCGGTATTCGGTATTTTGATGATTTTAGTGACATTATTCACCGGAATTGTTTCAAATTTGGCATTTGAAGTTCGTAATGGATACTACAGCCTAAGACAGAAAATAATCTGTGTAGGTCCACGTCTTCGTATAGCGCCTATATAACGTTACCCCCTACATTCGCTATTTTTGATGATTTTAGCGACATTATTTACCGGAATCGTTTCAAAGTTGGCATTTGAAGTTCGTAATAGATGCTGCAGCATAAAACAGAAAATGGGCCATGTAGGTCCACGTCTTCGTATAGCCCCCATACAACGTTACCCCCTATATTCGGTGTTTTGATGATTTTAGCTACATTATAAACAAATTTTTCTTCAAGTTTCGCATTTAAATATTGTCGTATAGGCATTCGGTATTTTTAAGATTTTAACAGAATTTTTAACGGATTTTGTTTTATTTATTTATTTATTTATTTTTTTTTTTTTTTTTTTGAAATTGTCAAATTTGTACCAAATGGTGGAGGGTATTAAAAGTTCGGCCCGGCCGAACTTACTTTTTTACTTGTTACATTGTCAAAACTAACATATTTCCATAAATCCAACCGTCAAGAAAACTTGGCATATTTCCCAACTCAAAAATTAAAGGAAACTTTGCGGCGAATTGGAAAAATTGCTTATTTTTTCAGAAATAAACAAGTTTATAGTTAGTTATTTAAATTATATTTTTTCATGGTACATATTGAATATATTATTATTTAGAGACTCACAACTAAGATTGATCTGGAATGATTCTGATTTTGACACTTTCACAAAAGAATGAAGTATAAAGGGAGATTTTGGCTTGCATTAAATACGTGTCAAATAAGAGTAAACCAGTAAGGAAAAGTCAAAAGTCGGGCGGGGACGACTATATGATACCCTACACCACTATGCATATTTAGTAGAGCCCCGTAGCAAAAACAAAAAAAATATTTCAAGTAGATCATAACACCTATCAACATTTGGCTTTAGAGCGGTTATAGTTTGATTTCTGAGGGAATTAATATATGGAAGGCATATCCAATTCTGAATCGATTTTCACTAAATAAAACACATTTTAATTTTTTATATCTAATTACATTGCCATAGAATGCATGATATTACTTCGGGAAGTATCATATTAAAATAACATGTATCGGAGCAGAGTTGCACAAAATGGAAACGTACGTCCCGAAATTTACTCCACCTGGGCAGATATTAGCCATTATTTGCACAATAAACCTGGAATCGTATTAAGGATATATTTGGGAGCTATATCCGAATCTTAGCCGTTCTCGATAAAATTTGGCAAAGATATTTCCGAGCTATATAAGATATCTGGTACCAAATATTGTTGGGGAGTGCATATTACAAGTGTGAGATACTTAAACACCAAATCGGACGAAACGTATATATGGGAGCTATAGCTATATCTGAACCGATTTTCACCAAATTTTACTTACTAGCTTATAGACTGAATTCGGTCGAATGTACCAAAATTCAGGACTTTTTGACAGATATTGGCCAATTAACCCCATATATATGGGAGCTACATCCAAATCTGAACCGATCTTGATAAAATTTGAAAGAGGTTTTTTCTGGGCTGTAACTGAAATCTGGGACCAAACATCACTATTGTGGAGGTGCATATTGCGAATGTGAGTGACTTAAACACCAAATCGGATGAAACACATATATGGGAGGTGTAGCTATATCCGAACCGATTTTCATTAAATTTCTAGACTGAATTCGGTCGAATATCTCAAAATTAGATCATTTGGGCTGATATTGGCTATTTGCTGCATAATAACCTGACATCGGTTGAAGATATATATGGGAGCTACATTTTAATCTGATTCGATTATCTACAGTTTCAATAGGGTTCGTCCTTGAGCCAAACAAATTTTGCTTGGAAAAAATTCATGTCAATCGGATAATAAATTCGACCTGCATTTTGTTCACAAAAATACATGGACAGACGGACAAACGGACTAACATGCATAAATCGACTCAGAAAGTGATTCTACGAAGTTCACCAAAAATAACTATGGGTCTATCTCGCTTCCTTCTCCATGTTACAAACACAAAGACATAATACCCTTACCACTATGTGGTGTAGGGTATGTAGATGTTGGCCGGAAAAATTAGACGAGAGAGCATTATATAAGATTTTATCTACTATGTGTTATCGAACAGGTGCAGCTGAAAATTTAGTACGATTTATGGAGTTTTGTTTTGAAAATTTGTCCAAAAAATATTGAACAAATTATGCATTTTGAGGGGTCATAGTTTTGAATATTTGAAACCCTTACATACGAAACAATTAAGCGGTTTTCCTCAAACTTTGTATGTCTCAATATTTTTAGCAACCACAGATGTGAATTATCTTTATAGATGTGAAAAAATCAGCGATTTTCTTTAATCATTGTGTTCCTTAATATTTTAATGAACCCTAGATCTACTGAAAATATGGGACATATCAACATTTTCTAAAAACTATAACATACCTTATATAAAACGAAGGAAGTAGTCAATATAGGACATACCTGGCTGGTCCTAATATTTATATCAGACTTAGGTCAAGTACGACGACTCCTTCGAAACCTCCGCCACAAAGGTTGAGCAGAGCAAAATATATTCAATTTGACATTATTGACATTCAATACATTAAAAAAGGCAAGTTTTTGTATTTTTTTCTGTCGGATGGTCATTGTTAAATCGATATAGAATACTGATCAATAATTTATATATATGAAGTTATAAATAAAACAAGTAAGCAAAGACTACAGTCGAGCGGGGCCGACCGTTGAATACCCTACAACACTATAATAAACGATACAGTTTATATAGGCGAGATACTCGAAAGAATTCCGCAATATATTGTGACAAATAATAAAAGAAAACCATCAGGTTCCCTTCTCTAATTTTCGAATAATAGCAACTTAAACTAATTTGCTCATTTCCAATTTATTTGTAGATGTTGAACGTAAATGGTCTTCCTAGATCTGGAACCAATATTTCCCAAAGACCTACAATCTCTCAGAAGTAGCAAAAGATTAACATTTATCATTGGTTTTTGACTGAAACGCATCTATATGAGATACAGACATTTGACTATATTCTTCAACGAAATCAGCGTTAACGAAATAGTCAGAAGTGCGTCTTTCCTGCATTTGTGAATTCTCCAAAAAGTCACTGGAATGGACATTTTCGTATTTTGTCTACAAAAGTTGGCAAACTATTTCACACATTGAATATTTTTGGATGGCCATCCGAAACTGCTTGGCTTTTGCAATGTCCGGTAACCCCCATTCAAATGTGCGTGAGGATCGGGCGATAATTACGACCTGCTGACAATTTTTCAGTTTTTTGGTTCATTTCAACCCCTAAATATATGGGGATCATCTCAAAAAAGAGTAGGCTTCTATTCTGACCCTCATCTTATTCCCATGCAAAATTTCGTAAGGATAGGGCCATAAATGCGATCTATATATGATATCCTGATATCCTAACTACTTAGTTTTGTTAGCTGTAGAAATATTACCAAATGTTTAATTCAAAATGAAAATATGCCAAAAATATGACAAAATTGAAAAAATATGAGAAAATTTTACAAAATCAATATTTTCATCTTTAGAGAGATATGTTTATGCGATTTTTTTAGACGTTTTTTCTTTCCTGCCAAGAGGCCATTCTGAATTAATGAGAACTGTCGAAATCAGTTCAGCCGTTCTCGACATATAAGAAATTTTTCAAGCATATCTTCTTTGATAAACATATATATCGCACATATTTTGCTATATATCC